ACACACACCACCACAGCCACCCACCACACCCTACCACAACCACCACCATCACCACCACACCACCCACACCACCACCACACCACAACCACACCCACCACCCACCACAACCACACCATCACCACCACACCACCACGCCACCACAACCACCACCACCACCACCACAACCACACACCATCACCACCACACCACCACACCACCACCACACCACCACTACTACCACCACACTACCACCACTCCAAGACCATTTACAGAATCAATTACCCAACAGCTGGAACTCTTCTTTAATAATCGTAAGACATTTTTTTCTCTTAAGTGGTGATAAGAGATCGTTCCAAGATAACAATAATGTCGTAGGAATTTGTCTTAACATATCACGTTCAGAATTCCTTTATAAAAAAAAATCTTAAGTTAGGGTAAATTTATGTGATTTTTAAAAGTTCGTAAGTTAATTTTTTTCCTCTCAACTGAGCAGTAAAATATTGCGCCAAGAGTGTTGAGAGTTCTTTAAAAGTTCGTCAGGGTGAATTATGAGAACGTATCTAAATATCTTACGTAAATATAAAATTCTCAAACGGTCTTAAGTTAAATTGTCTCCTTATTTGAGAGATTTGAGAGACTGGTTTTGTTCTCTCTGGCGTGATAGTGAGAGATGAGAGACCTACATGCTAGAGAGAGATGAGAGACCTACATGCTAGAGAGAGATGAGAGACCTACATGATAGAGAGACATGTTAGGGATAGGTAGAAGGTCTTCAGGCTAGAGGATTTACAGCATCGTAAATCCTATCATGAAAGAATTATATACACCTCGATTCTACGCACGAGAGTTATAGGCACTTGAACTATAAACAGTGAAGTTATAAGCGATTTAATCCACAAGGAAGAATCATAGACGCTTTAAATCATAAACACAAGATGGATATAGAGGTACACACACACACACACACACACACACACACACACACACACACACACACACACACACACACACACACACACACACATCACCAACAATACATACCAACACAATTTACTCTCTCTCTCAGGAGTTCATTCTGTTATTATTACAATGTATTTTATGCGACGTTTTGATTGGCTAAATGGCAATAACACAATATGGAAACAATTTGCTATTGGACATTGTTTTCATGCTGGACGTGATTGGCTCGTGACGTAAATCAAATGGAGTGTTTTATTAGGTCAGTAACTGTATTAGTGAGAGAGTGACTGTATTGTCTGGAATAAATCATGTATGTAAATAAATGTAAATATAAATAAACTGTGAAATATGTTTGTATATCAAGGGTAGAGAGACTGCACCACAAACGTAATATCGCCAGACTCTCCGACGAATAGAAATGTCTCTTTATGTCTCGCGTTTATAAGAAGGCCAGTCGTACCAAGATGGACCTGGAGGGACCTGGGAGGATTCAGGGGGACCTAGATGGACCTGGGAGGATCTGGAGGGACCTGGGAAGACATGAGATAACCTAGATAGACCTGGGAGAATCTGAGCTGATCTGGGCGAAGTTAATATTCAGACACACACGCACGCAGACACACACACACGCACACGCACACACACACACACACACACACACACACACACACACCGTAGTATTATTGGGCAGTGAGATGACTCAATAGAGACTTAAAGGCACTTGGTAATCGTGGAGATGAAAAACATAAGAGTATTATCATCTCTGGGACTCTGTGGATATATTTCGTGGCATAGAGATATAGAGAGATAGGAGGAGTGATAGAGAAATGAGAGAAGGAGACTTAATGAGAGAAGGGAAAGAAAAAGAGAGAGAGACAGAGTGAAATAGATTGACAGATACAGACAGACAGACAGACAAACGGACAAACAGACAGACAGATAGACAGAAATACCCTATATAAATCAAAGCCCTAAAATTAATTAAAAAAAAACCCATCAGATTGTTTAAATAGTTTCAACAAAAACACAAAGAATTTCACTTACAACTTTTTACATATTTTTCGACGCCTTTCATATATATTTTGGCAATGAATTTTACCATTATTTTTTTTTTCTTCGCCCATATATATAAGTGTGCGTGTGTGTGTGTGTGTGTGTGTGTGTGTGTGTGTGTGTGTGTGTGTGTGTGTGTGTGTGTGAGGGCAGAAGAGTGTCTAGAATGGTGATGTGGATGTGAGGTGGAAATTATTATTATTATTATTATTATTTATTATTATTATTATTTGTAGTAGTAGTATTATTGTTTGCGTTGTTATTGTAGTTGTTTATGTTATTGATGTTATTGTTATTATTATTTTGAAGGACCAACAGACAACACTGGTTCTGTCACATAGACCAATGGCTGTCAATGGCTGGTGAAAATAAACATATAATATAAAAAAACTCATATATCATGGCCACTATAAACACCAAAAAGGTCTTATATAAAAAAAAATAATTCTCTATAATAAATATCTATAATTATAACGAAGAAATTATATATTAAAATAATCAAAATAGTTCAACTTACTCTCGTAGCCCCTAACCTTCACTGCCTGATGTATGATAATGTATAATTCTTCTACATAAACGAGCCATTAATCTGTGAGTTTAACTGTGGAAATAAATTAATTACTTATTATGTTTTTCTGGGGGTTCTGTTCTTTTAATGGGAACATAACATTAATTCTATATCATTCTGGATTAATTATATTTTATATAATTATATTCTGGATTATATATTTGTACGATAATTTTTACGCTGTGTCTAGTGACGTAATTCAGCCACTCAGATGCCGTGTTGTTTTGTTAATTTGTATATACTGTTACGAGTTGGGGATTTAGAATATAGTTAAAAGTCTACCCAGATCCCAACAGGCAACAACAATAAAAAAACAAAGACAATCGGACTATAAAAGGGTAGACAAAGGATGCGAGTTTTTGTTGTGTATAATAAAGTACCATAAATTCCTTAACAAAATATTCAGCTTTCTATAATTTACCCTTAACCATACTTAACCTAAACATTAACAGTATATACATATTTATACAACATACAATAATTTGAAGCAAGTGGACGTGGGGGAGGCAATATAAGATTACAAATACTTAAGTGCGGAGCTGAGATGGCTGACGAGTAAGGCTGAGTATTGTAGAAGACGGTAGGTAGTCACTGTGCCGTAGGTTTCCAGGATAGGTGATCCTGTGGTCACCTCCCAGAGTGAACTCAACTCTCCTCGAACTGGAGCTGACAAAGAAGACTTTGAGGAGGTGACGCAACAACCAGGATATGGAGAAGGGAAACCCGGAGTGGTAACTAAGACGAGTCATACTCGTGTTTCGTCCCTAGATGGCGTTGCTCGTGGTGCTGGGTAGGTAGATCAAGACAATAGATGGCGTGGTTCATAACAATACTGTTTATATATATACCTGTTGGCTCTCCCCCTGTCCCCATGCTCCCCCTCTCCTCAGCCTCTCCCCTCTCCCCATGCTCCCCCTCTCCATAGTCTCTCCCCTCTCCCTATGCCTCGCCTTTCTCCCCAGGCTCTCCCATCACCCCGTCAGCGTAAGACTTAGTTGATATTGTATAAAAGTAAGGAAGCTGCCCACCCCACTCAAAGGCTTCAGCCAAGAGAGGGTGAACAAAACACAGGAGAGAGAGAGAGAGAGAGAGAGAGAGAGAGAGAGAGAGAGAGAGAGAGAGAGTCTATTGCTTAGGTACAAAATAAAACACAAAAACAAAATCGACTCGTATTATAAATAGCTTGCATTGTGAACTCTGGTGCCGTACAGTATTGGTTCAGGTACAGCAGGTGTTGAAGTATTTAGTATACATGTGTGTGTGTGTGTGTGTGTGTGTGTGTGTGTGTGTGTGTGTGTGTGTGTGTGTGTGTGAAACCTTGCCCAGTAAAGAATTGTTCAGGTACATGAGCAGGAGGGAAGAACAACGGGAGATAATGTATAAACAAAGACGAGGAGGAGGAGGAGGAGGAGGAGGGGGAGGAGGAGGAGGCCGGAGGAGGAGGAGGAGGAGGAGGCCGGAGGAGGAGGAGGCCATTGCTCGCTGATCTGAACGAAGCTAGAATGTAAACTTTGCCCCGCCAGTGTTGCCAACGAACTCAGACTCACCGATAGGTTGAGCAGTGTCGCCAATGGTAAGCGTTGGAGGAGGGGGTTAGGGGGAAGAGAGAGAGAGAGAGAGAGAGTTATCTTATTCTTCTTCTTCTTTGTCCTGTAAGTATGTTATTATTCCTTGTTTTTCTCTCATTCTCTCTCTTCCCTTACCTTTTCCCCTCACCTCACCTCGCCTTCCCTATTCTCTCTCTCTCTTTTCCCTCACCTCTCACCCTCTCCCTCACCTCTTACATCATGTCCAGGGAACCAATCAACGTCACACACTTTAACACTCGGTTGAAAGTTTGCTCTATGTCTCCTCCCCTCTTGCGTCATCCAACTCCAATGTTTACTACGACAAGCGCCCTGATTCGTTCCCGCCTCTGACGTCACCGTTTTAAGATTAACTGTGATTGGTCAGTGGATAAAAGATGCACCAGTAACGTTGAGCAGAAAGACTATATGTAGATGTATATGTGTATGTATGTAAATAAATAGGAAAATAAAAAAAATCGTATCTCAATTGTTTTTTATGGTTTAGTTTTTTCTCTTTGTTATTTTTATGTTTTTATGAAGGTGGATTCATATTAATGTTTTTTTTTTTTAGGGGAAGATATTTTATAAACATTCTTTTAAATGTACAGGTATATGTAAATAAACACGAAAGAAAAAACATGTCAGGATTACTTTTTTTTCAAGGTTCCATAAAATTTATAAAATCATTATTTCATTTTTGTTTTATCTTTCTTTTTAGGTTGTTGTAAAGATGAAAATATATCATTTTTTTAGGAAGAAAGGATCGTGTATATAAAGATTATTATTATATATATATTTTTTTTAATGTAGTTTGTAGATTTTATTATTTATTTTTTCGTGTAATTTTGAACGCTCTCTTGTTTACCTTTCAGGGAGGCTGTGTTGTGTTGGTGAAGCTTAACGCGTCGGCAGGAGGGAGAGAGAACCACTTGAGAATATTACTTCCATCCCCTGAGGAAGAGGAAGAAAAAAAAAACTGAAAAAAGACTGAAAAAGACTGAAAAAAGACTGAAAAGGACTGAAAAAGACTGAAAAAATAGACAACCTTGAGGAAAATAATGCCTAAAGTTGAACGAAACTGACGATAAACAATATGAGCGAAGGCAAGTCACCATTGGACTAAAACTTCTGGGAAAAAAGTAGCGAGCGAGTGAACGAATAAGAGGAAAGATAGATAAAGAAAGATAAAAAAAAAAGAAACGAGAAGATATTTTTAGTGAACGTGGCGATGATACAACTGATAAATTAATGATAAGTGAAACATGTTAATGATAAGAAGAGGTTTGGAATTAATTTTTTTCACCCAGATTAACGAACGGACTTGTACGTGATTTTTGTGTTATTGTCTTCAAGTGACCGTGAAGAAAATCCCTGTGCTTGATTGTATGATAACAGCATTTAATTTTCTAAGTTGGTGATATTAAAGTAACTTTATCATGTAGGTAATGTTTTCTTAAGTGATATTTACGTCCAAAAGTGATGGTACTTATGAAAAAAAACTTAACAGCAGATAAGTTTTGATGTAAAGCTAAAAAACACGTTTGTAATTACTGAAGAAAAAAATATACCTTTGATAAGTGATTTTATAAGTGGATCAAAAGTACGTTGGAAGTAATTGAAGTAAGAGTTAAGTGTTCAGTCTACCATGACTATAATAACACACTACCATTGGACACCATAACGGAAGTGAACAGACAGACAGACAGATAAAGTTGAAAGCTGATTTATACAATGTCCAACCGCGAAGCCATGCGGGGTGAGGTCTATAAGATCTGAGACACTTATACAGACATACAGACACAGACACATACAGACACAGACACATACAGACACAGACACTTACAGACACAGACACTTACAGACACAGACACTTACAGACACAGACACTTACAGACACAGACACATACAGACACAGACACTTACACTTATTCAGACACACACACATAGATACGACAAAGGCTTACACACATACACACAGACACACATAGATACTTACACAGACATAGACATAGACAGACACTTGCATAAACACACAGGCACGGGTTGACATTTACACAAAACACACAAACAGACACAGAGACAGACAGACAGACAGACAGACAGACAGAGGGACTATAGCACACATCTCTTGTTTCTCCTTCTCCGTCTCTTGGTCAGTTGAGTAGCTGCAGTAATACAATACATTAACTAACACCTTCTCTCCACCACTACCACTACCACCACCACCACCACCACCACCACCAGCTTATCTTATATACCCCGGTTACGTTTTAATTTATTCAGCTTTAAGTTCTTTCTCACTAACCATCACCAACACAGTTAAAACAGTCCCTTAACTCCTCTCTATCTCTCTCTTTCTCTCACCAAAACAAACATATAATTCAAGGCAAACCAAACAAAACCAAAACAAACACACACAAACACACACATACCATGAGCACAAACATCGTCTAGAACAACATTATGACCAGAAACTCTACCACAAACGGTCGACCGTCCACCATGTCCTCTTCCAATGGGAGTGGCGGGAAGGCAGAGAGCAAAATGTCCTCCTCCTCCTCCTCCTCCTCCTCCTCCTCCAGCACGGGCGGCCTCAACAAGAAAAAACAAAAGAAATTCGGTGTCTTCAAAACAAGCTTACCGCGGAACCTGAAGGAGAACTCAAGGGCAGAGCTCCTCAGTCCCTGTAGTGATGAGGTTCCTTCGCCTAAGGATGTCAGTAGTGGAGTCCTTTCCATCCCTACTTCGACGTCCTCGCCCTCCCCGACGGCCTTCCTACCAGAAGCCTTCCTGACAGATACCTCCTGCAGTTCCTCCAGCGCTAGAGGGAAGGACTTGGCCTGTTGTAATGGCACTACCCACAGCGGCGTCAAGGTCGTTAGAACACACAGGTAAGTACACCACAAAAGGTCTTCCACGTTAATTAATAATACAATTATTCACGTGTCTAGGCTGTTGGGTGGGTAAAGTGACATATTTTTGGGGGTGTGGTTGTTATTGATGCCATATTTAATAATTATAACTCGTATCGTGGGTTAAATAAGCCAGTTAGAATACATTTGAGATTAATTGTCAAGTTAAAGTGACATGATTCCATATACATGAAAGAAATAATTTAAAATTATACAAAATGTTTCAAAGTTTTCCCGCCAAAAAAATATCAAAACAAATGCCATCGTAAAAAAAACGCGGGAAATAGTCAAGAGATGATTGGCTGATTGTGAGAGTTGGGAGGAGCGTGAATTATTTATTTTCTCGTTAAAAAGAATCATAAATCAGCAGACAAAGAGTGGATTAAAAAGTCTTAATGTCTTTCTGTCGTATATATTAAAGAGAGAAAAGAAAAAAAAAAGATAATGGATTCCAGGATATGAAGGAATAAACAGGAGATAAGAGAGTAAGGCAGAGACAGAGATACAGACAGATAGAGAAAAAAGGAGGGAATAAGATAGAGAAAAAGAGATAAAGTGAGAAAGAGACAGAAAGACAAACAGACAGACAAAGAAATCTAGAGAGAGAAAGGAGAGAGTAAGACAGACAGACAGACAGACTTAAGGACGTTTATAAATAGAGGGGAAAATATCGTGTTTATTTTCCCCTTTTCCCCCACAGAGTAAATTAGCTTGTCAGGTTGATGTAACGCTCTCTCCAGTGTCCGGTCCTCAAAATTATCCAGCCAATCATCTCTCGGATATTTCCCGCTCGTATTTGAAAGAAAGGAATATCCACCAATCACCTCTCAGATATTTCCCGCCTACGCTTGAAAGGAAAAAATACCCACCAATCACCTCTCAGATATTTCCCGCCAACGCTTGAAAGGAAAAAATACCCACCAATCACCTCTCAGATATTTCCCACCCTCTTCTCGACGACATTTGATTTGATATTTTTGGCGCGCACTCTCTGATGCCGCCAAATCCATCTTCATATCTTGCAGATTTACTCCTGAAATCTCGCCACGCCGTCTCTTGCTTAATTCTCACTCAGTATTCATTTATGAGGCAATTTACTCACACCATTTAGAGGGAGAAATATGTTCTCTTCCATTCTTGTTTCCAACTTTATTTAAAACTCTCCTAAAAATCAGTAAAAATCGTTAAAAATTCAGAAAAAATCGTTAAAAATCGGTACTAATCGTTAAAAATCGGTTGGTATTTACACACGGGATATTAACGGTCTGAGATGAAAAAATTAAGAGACGTTATCGTTATTATTAAGGATAAATATATAGATAAATTATTTAAATCTCAAGTCATAATATTCAAAGGAAGAAATATTAGTATAACAAGAGGCCACAAGAATAGAGAATATATGTATACACCTTCTGGTAATGACTTGCAAAAACTAACATCAATAACGAAACATTTTACAAACACCAAATACCCCTCGGGAGAACTTATCAGCAACCAATATCTCGAGAAATTAACGTCGACAAAATGATTGATTCGTATTTTGAAGGAGAAACATCGCTAGAGCAAACAAACACAGCGAGAGAAGAAAAAATATACATATATACCGTAAAAATAGCGGGAAAATAGGTCGCCTTCTTTCCGGGGTTTTCTAAGAGAGAGAGAGAGAGAGAGAGAGAGAGAGAGAGAGAGAGCCTCTGATGGACACTTTATTTTTACACTACCAGGCGCATCTCTCTCTCTCTCTCTTTTGTTGACAGTTTCACAATTGTGTTTATTAACGAACGTCCTATCAGATGTGAGAACAAAATCATATTTTTCTTCATTTCCGTGTATAATTTTTTTTTATAATTCTTCCAGGTGAAATATTATTGGGTATGTTTTTTAGAACACTGTCTGGGTCTCGGATGGAATTTTTAGTGATTCGTCAGCCAATCAGCGTGGTCCAACGAGCTCGCTGCAGGAACCAATGACAGCTGCTGCGGATGTAATTATGGGTTTTCATTGGTTCCTGGTGGTATACAAAATATAGTATCAAGAGAGTAAAGGAAGAAATAACTAGAAGGAGAGGGAAGAAATAGGGATTGGGAGAGAAAGGAAAAGATAAAGAGCGAGAGAGAGAGAGAGAAACTTCTGAGTCTTCATGGTCCTTCTTGTACACACACACACACACACACAGACTATTGTTTTACCTTAAATCTATCAATAGCAAGTCTACGGACCTGGCGCACGCTCTTTCAACTACTACAAATTCACGTGTATAATAATAAGAAACTACTTACCAACTTTCTCTTTAAACTTTCCCTAATTTGACTAAAGTTGTAAAAGCCTCATTAAGTTGTATACCTGACTTAAAGTTATATGTGGATTGAGTCATAATTGTTTGCATATGTAACTTAATATCTGTGCAACTACAAAAAACAAATGAAAAATTATAAAGAAAAAGTGTAAAATGTTGGGTCGACTGAAGTGTTTATGTAAGTGGTAACACCGGGGGAGGTGTAAGGGGGGAGGGGGGTGTAAGATGGTTGTTATGGGACTAACCCACACAACCACCACCACCACCACCACCACCACCACCACCACCACCACCACCACCACCACCACCACCACACCACCACCACCACCACCACCACCACCACCACCACCACCGCCGCCACCACCACCACCACCACCACCACCACCACCACCACCACCACCGCCACACCACCACCACCACCACCACCACCACCACCCCCTCTACCACAGATCACGACTCTTCCATCCCACAGACCACAACTCCCATCCCACAGTCTCTCTCCCACATAATAACAACAACCTCTTTCCTTCCTGCTCCATTTCAGCAACACTAATGATATTTATGTTTCATCATTATGGTCTGCAATTGCTTCTTCCGCCTCTTGCAACCTGCACGACGACTGCTTTTCCCGGCTCTTTGACGGCCACTCGTCCAGAAATGGCTGTGAGAGATACATGGTGTGTGTGTGTGTGTGTGTGTGTGTGTGTGTGTGTGGCAGCTTTGTTCACATGTTGATGAGGCTCTTGTAAGTTGTTGACCAAAGTATTGCAAAAGGTTATTATACTATGAGTGTTTGGGTATCTGTAAACATTATACTGAGCAGTCCACATATATGTTAGTTGCACATACATTTGTTGACATATTGATATCTTCTCTGGTTGCAAAATGTTGATGAAGACATTGCAAAGATATGACGATACTGTGTGTAGCCTTGCAAGTTATATAAAGTTTCTGTAAGTCCAGGAAGGAAAATACACGAGTATACATTTTTCGTTTTGAGTCAATATTGATAATGGTATTGTTGCACTGTTGACGAAGACATTGCAAAAGTTATCAAATTGCTTATAGAAAAGAAAATAATTGAATAAGTCTGTAAGTTTAAGGATGGAACACATAAGTTCTTGTTGCAGATTGTTGACGAGGACATTGCAAAGGTTTATTATATTCAGAGTAAATGTTTAACCAAGGGAAGTAAGCAATAATTAAAGCTCAGGAAAGTGGTATACGATATTTCACTTGATGCGTTTGTCCTTTATTGATGGTATCGTTGGAATGTTGAAAGGGATGTTGCAAGGTCGTTATATTGCAGTAAAGAACACATGTTGTTGTTCGCTATAAATCTCATTGTGATATATTGCAATGGTTGAAACAGAGAGAGCGATAATGTTGGTTCTGCTTTTATTAATTAATGCGTTTTATCTGTCTAAATTGTTGATGGTGTTGCTGTGTTGTTAACGAGGGAGTTGCAATTTATAATATTAATTGCGTTAAATATTTCTTACTGTTTTTTTTCTTGTGTATTTTTTTAAATATTGCAATGATGATTTAAAGTATGTTGCAAAGGTGATATTCTCTTGTTGAGGTGTGTTGCAAAGGTGACATAATGTAACTGAAGTGTGTTGCAAAGGTAACATTATCTTACTGAAGTGTGTTGCAAAGGTGATCGAGTCTTGTTGATATGTGTTGCAGAGGTTAAAGGTTAAAATTAACAACACTAAATAAAGAACTACTTCATTTATCACCTGAAACACTTTATACCTGCCAGTGATGAAGTGGATCTGATGACTCGTTATATCCGGCTTTAATGAGGCGATATTCGGCTTTAATGACGATATATCCGGCTTTAATGACGCGATATCTGGATTTAATGACGCGATATTCGGCTTTAATGAAGCGGTAAATGGCTTTAATGACGCGATATCTATAATGGTGTGATATATGGCTTTAATGACGTAATATCTGGCTTTTTTGACGCGATATATTGCTTTAATAACGCGATATCCGGGTTAAGATGACGCGATATCTGGCTTTATTGACGTAATTCCTATAATGGTGTGCTATCTTGCCTTCATGATGGCATATCCGGCTTTAATGATTCAATATCCGACTTTTAATGACGCTGTTTTGTCTTAATGGCGTTGTGTTGTCCTTTCACTTTCATTTTCTATTCGTGACGCGTCTTGTATATTGTTGCTCCCTCTTGTTGCTAATGATATTGCAGAGATAAGGAGGACGCTGCAGAGGGTGATGATATCTTCCCGTTATTGTGTGATTGTGATGTCGCTCAGGTGTGTGTGTGTGTGTGTGTGTGTGTGTGTGTGTGTGTGTGTGTGTGTGTGTGTTTATGGTAAAGGCTGGCCGTCGTAGCTCCATCACCACCTGTAATTAAGCCAGTAATCTGATTGTCACCTGACGGGTTAGTACGGTGCAACGAGAGAGCTACATCTAGTCATTGCATGGCATCAGATAACTACATTGCCAGGAGGAGTTGCATGCAGTTGCACATATATTATTACGTGGTATCTGATAATAGTGTTGTCAACTTGATGTATGTAATTGTTCCTCTAACATTTCGTAGCATCAGATAATTACATTGCAATGAAATGCTTTCAGTTGCATGCCTATCATTGCCTGGCATAATATAAAGGAACTGCAATAAGATACATTTAATTGCACACCTAAA